TTGAAGAAAACTGTAATCCCCTTAGCTGTAGGTGGTGGAGAAATCTGGTTGCAAGCACCAAGTACATTGGATCACTCCAGCACTCACTGAACTCTTTCTCACCATCAGAGAGTTACTTGGCTTCACTGAAGTTACTTTTCTTTCCTGTGAAAGGCAACAATTGCAACTAACGATGTATGCAATCTCATCATCCACAAGCCCAAATATTAGTGAGGACTTCCCAAGGGCCAGTCTCTGGACAGATGAAAAGATAGGGTCCCAGATTTATTCATGCGTAGAAGAAGTTTAAGCCATAAAGACATTAATTCTTCCTGTTTTGATAGACTGATTCAATACAATTCTGATTAGAATACCTACCAGATTTTTCATGGAATGTAACAAGTTAATTTATGGTCAGGAACAGCCAAGAAACATCTTTGGTACCACCAGTGGGGAGGGGTGGATAGGTCATTCATTTCCACTGTTCTTTGTGAAGTGTTAAAAACGTTCTGGAATAATAATGGTTGCACCAATGTGAATATGCAAAAAGCTGCTGAAGTGTACCATTTAAATGGATGGACTTCACGGTGTGTGAACAATATCACAATAAAGCTGTTATATGAAAAAATATTTCTTGACAATTATTTTTCACTCTATACAACTAGTCTGCCCCACAATTTAAGAAAAAGAAAAAACCAAAAGAAACCAAACTGCCAGAAGCTCTTTAGGACTGCAATGTCCCTAGGTCTCCAACGCCTATGGTGGTGCTGTTCCTGTTAACAAACACTAGCTGGGCTGGACTTGTTAGGGACTGTAACTGTTCCTAAAATCAGCGGTCACACGTTTCACCCTGGGAGAGGGAAGAAAGGAGGATGTCACAGCCTCCTGCCTTAAGTTCATTTTTAACTGAACAAAGCCCTGCTTTCAACACTGTAATCCCTCTCACTATAAAAACACGTGACATCAACAAGCACCGCCATCATAACACCTGAAAGTGTTCAAGGTACTTACCTGGGGCAGAAACACTGAGGGAGGAGACTGAAGCTCGCTCAGCACTGATTCTCCCTATTCCCGACTCCACCAGGAGAAGCTGGGCTTTACAGCTGGAGACTCTGAGCCAGGGGAGCAGCGCCCAAGCCGCTGAGCTTGTCCTCAGGGAGCGGGAAAGGGAGAGGAGGGCAGCCCCGGGGTCGCGGGGCAGGGAAAGCAGAGGGGGTGTGACGCGGGCTGCAGCCCTGCTTGGAGGCCAGCCCCAGCCCAGCCGCCAGCCCCCGTCCGGGTCGGCAGACACTGCCCACACGGGACACAGCCCGCCCAGGGGCGGGGACGGGTCGGCGGCTAAGGAGAGGAAGCCCGGGAGGAGAGGACTCGAGGGAGGGAGAGGGGAAGGGGACGCCAGCCACGGAGTGAGGGGAGCCCGGCTGGGGCGAGAGGCGGCAGGTGCACACCTGGCCCTGGGCAGTTGTGGCCGGGCCGCCGGGGCAGAGGGGCCTGGCCCGAGCAATTCAGCTGAACACACGCTGACTCGCGGCCTCGCGGGCTGTGACACGCGGACCGCACTCCCGCAGCCGCCTGACCCCTATCCCGGGAGACCCCACCTTGCACTTCCACAGCCAGAAGCCCCGGCCTCTGGAAGGAGCCAAAGGCCTACAGGGCGACAGAGCTGAGGAGCCTTTGGGACCGATCCCAGGCTTGGAGCTGGGGCTTCCAACCCGCGGTCCAGCTGGCACCAACAGCGCATACGCAGGAGGGCCAGCAATCCTCTTGGTTCTGGGAGAAAAGCTGGGGCAGCCAGGGAGGGAGAAGATGGGACAAGGAGGGGAGGAGGGAAAAAGTGGAGGGAGACAGATGGACAGGAGGTGCAGAGAGAAGGGAGGGATCTGGAGAGGGGAGGGGAGTAGTGGAGATGAAGAGAAAAAGCTTTACCTCTGGGGGCACCCCAAAGGAGGAGGCAGCCCTGCCTCTGTACCCTTCTCTAACTCTTCAAGGCCCGCAGCTCAAGTTTTACCTCCCTGGTCCAGCGTTCCAGCCAAGGCCTCTTCAGAACCTCTACGGGGATCACACCCGTTGCCCCCACGGGGAGCTGGGTTTCCTGTTGCCTTGGGAACCAATCACCCGTGGGTGTTTTAGCTCAGAACTAAATTGGAAAGAGTACATATTCCCCTTTTACACGCTGGGAAACAGGCAGGCATGATCTCTGCCTTAGCTCCACTGTCCCAGGTGTTGGGTTGGTGGGGAGCGGGAGGTAGAAGATCAGAGCCCTAGACAGAGTAGACTGCCTGATTGTTGGTGCATAGTCCCCATCCCTCCTGGGTAAACCACACCCCACTCTAGTGGAACCATCAAGGGCTCACAGTAGGTCTCTGGGTGTGGGAAAGCTGTCCTCAGTTCCAGTGCCCAGCTTGCAAGGTAGATAGGAGTGTTACCGAGTCCAAATTCATTCTCCTCAGTGCAGGACAGACCAATAAGTTCGGAAACCAGGTGTTGGGGCATGGAATAGTATGTTTCTGTAGACCTAGATGGCAAACTAATGTCCTGGAAAACCATCTCCCCAAGTCAGAATTCAGGCTTCTTCCCTACGTGCTTGGTTGTTGCAAACTTCTTGGTGTAGGAATTCATTTTTGTTAGAAACCTTTGTTCTTGCAGCTATCTGCCAGGGTCAAATGTCTGTAAACCTCCAGCAAAACAAACGTTATTTTCTATTCTACAACTTGTAATCATTTTATGAATGAAAAAATGTTATATATCCTTAAAGGGCAGAGCCTTCAGAATAGGCTCTCCTGTATATTTCAGGCTCCAGGCAACATTTTTATACAAGCAAGATGAAGCCTAGCAGGCAGAGCACAGGGTTAAAGTCAAAGGAACTGATCTAATATGGAGACACATTTGTTCTTTTCTATTACCGGGGAAGAAGCCACTTCAGTATTTAAGTCAGTTTAAGTTAAATTTAACTAAAACTTTAAAGGAATGTACATAGGTGGGAATGTGCATAACATATCTGGAAAATCACACAAAGGATAGTAAGCAGTGGCATCTCCATGGAGGGCTGAAAGAACAGAGAATGAGGGAAAACTTCTTTCACTTGTGTACTTTTGTGCTCTGTTTGAATTTTTTTAACCACATGCATGTATATCTTTTTCGGTTAAAAAAATTACAATGAAGCAAAGGAGTAACTAGCACAGCAAATACAGCAGCCATGGAATCACTGAGCCATCACTTTTGATTTAAGCCAGGAAGCATTTATTGACTCTCTCCTATGTACCCAGAGATCTTTTAAGTATTCCTTTATTTTATTATTATTATTAGTAGTAGTATTAGTATTAGTAGTTGTAGTAGAAGTAGTAGTATTTTTTTTTATAAAATTATAACATGCTATCCCTAACCCATGCCCATGGATGGTGGAAAACCCACTGAGTTTTTATTGAGTTGTTTTCCAAGGTGTAGGGATGAGTTATAAACAGAACACATTTTCAGGGCAAAACAGTCGGAGGATTTTCCAGCAGGCCAGTCCGCTATGAAGGGTTTGCAATAGAGGCACCCAAAGGCTGAGAGAGAAAGCCTCCAGGACCCTATAAAAAGCTGCCCAAAGTGCCTTATCCATGGCACTACTGAAATAGGAAAAACAAATCTGACTCCATATTAGATCTATTCCTTTCACTTTAACAAAGCCAAGTTAATACGCTCCGGTCTTTTCATGGGTTATGATGTCACAGAGGAGACAGACAGGTCAATGCGGAACCACTCTGCCGTGATCACGGAGCCAGGGAACGGGAAGGGCGGCAAGATGTATGATGCATCCGCAGCTGTGCCAGGGCTTCTAGGCAGGTACCCAAAGTCACCTCGACCAAGTGTCAAATGCTTGTGCCCACGACCTCATCACCTGACATGTATTAAAGAGAAATGGAAACCTATAAAAGTCCAATATCCTTGGTGGGTACACCACCCAAAGAGCAAAGTCACAGTTTGACAACTGGCCATCTCAGTTCCCTGGGATTCATTCTTGGAGAACCTAAAAAACCACTCCTCTGTCCTCAAGGAGTACTGCATATTCGTCCTATTTTTGGCTTAGGGATGGAGCACGTTCAAGTGAACTTCAATGTGTGCACGGATTTGACTGTCTTTGTCCAGGTTCACTTGTCCATTCTAAAGAGGCCTGACCTAAGTCCATCTTCCATAAGATCAATTCCCTCCAGTGAAAACTCATCAAGCCTGCAATTAAAAGCCAACTGAACAAGACTGTCCTCAGCTAAAAAGTTCACCCACTCTTACTGATATCTTAATCTCCTTTCCTAGCTAATTGCAACAGACTAACACCTCCCACCACCAAGCTCGCCAACTATGTCAGTTTGTCTCCCCCAAGAGAAAATAAGGTCCATAAAAGAGGAGACAACTCCATAGTCACCTCAGAATTCCTAGCATATAGTAATGTCAATAAATAGAACTATGATTATGGCTTCTTTCCTTTAAAACCTTTCTGGTTATTAGAAAGAGGCCTTGGAAGAGTGGTGTTTGCGGTCCAGTATCTTGATCCACAAGACTCTGGAGGCCTTTCTCGGAATGGCTGTTAACTGATCCATTCAAAACACAACTTCTCATTCCAGGAGTATCTGTGTTTTTCTGCCAGGAGTTTGTGGTCACTCTCATGCCAGAACAACTTTAAATTATATCCTTACTTTGGATTTGTTATTTTTCCCCTCTTCCAACAAAATTGACTTTCCTTACTTTCTTACCTTGAGGAATTTTTTTTCCCTAGTACACCCTTTAGTAAACCAGGCTTCTTGGGATCTGCTTGGCCTTACATAAGATCAGCCATTCAACTCCCATTGTGAGAGGCCTGGGGCTCAACTCCTGCCATCCTGTCAAGGCATCTGAAAACCAGCTCAGGAGCCAAACGGCCCCCCAAGCACTTCTTAGGCTCATTTACTTCCCAGAATCCCTTTCTGGTTTCTCTTGGATTCTGAGTATTTCCCCTCAC